ATCACGAGAATGCCTCAAAGGTACAAGCTAAAAGAAAACAATAGTAGTAAGAATAGAACTTGTAAAAATCACTGCACGAATATCTTGTTAACAGAATTACAAAACGATCAGCATGCTTTTGGCATACAGTATTGTTTGGGATGGTGCTTGAACAATTGACAGTTTATTGCAGTCTCTTTATATGTTTTTTCTTCTTCTTTTTTCTAGTCCTTGCTTTCCGTTCGTCAAGATGACAAAGTAATTTGTCCAAGAACCAAAGAGGTCTTCAACTTCTCACAAGCTGAGAAGGTCTACATTATGTAAATCCCTCAAACACGCAATGAAGTGCCGCTGGAATTTGTCACAAGACATTCTGGCATGCCCGGTTGAAAGAGATCTTGAGAGTGGCAAAGAGAACTGCCACCTGGGGGGGGTGGGGGAAATTCAGATTTATTGGTGGCATTTTTTCTTGCGACCAAAGATCAACGAGCAACAATATACACTCTTGGAAAGTGAGGAAATATGACTAAAAGGTTGTACTTGGAGGGAACAAATTTTGAATGTTTGGATTTTGTAACAGTAATTGGACTTTTCTCAAATATTCATCCAGAAAAATGATCATACTCAAATGGACCACTTCATTTGAGGGAGGGAACGTTACAATGAATTTCAAAGGGCCACTTCATGTTTCAGTCTTGTTTTCAGGATCATCAGTGTGTTCCCACTTGTGGAACAGCATACTGTTTGAAGAGGCCAAATATGCAAATCTGTAATATACACACCAGGGAGCTGAGTCCAGTCACAGCTTCTGAATGTGTGCTCATCTTGTGGCCTCGGGTGTCTGTGCGCGTGTGTGGGGTGCCAAAGGGAGAGCATGAATGTGTGTGTGTGAGAGTGAATGCATGTGCATCTCCCTTTCAGGTGTGGCTGTCACACACAAACTGGAAACAGGTTTCCTGTGGCTAAGAGTGAAGTAGGCCCATGTGCTTCCATTTTCTGTGCTAGCAATTGGCTAAGGACCATTTGTTGGACATCTTCTTACACTCTGCCTTTTAAATGATTCCATGGGCCACTCTCAATCTATGGAACAGATGCTTGACAACACTAATGCAGAACTGATTTCACTGGAAGAATTTAGAATTACTTTGAAAGGAAATATAAGGCTTTATTCTCCTCTCCACTCCTAAAGCATCTTAGGAAGACTGCATAAATAACAAGGACTGATAATGTTACAGGCATATTACACTGTTTGTATGTCTGTCCTTCCAGTTGACCATAGTGTTAAGATCCTTCATTTATTAGTTACTATGTGCATAGGATTCAGTATCAAACCATTAGTGCTACTGCCTTATTTCTTGCTTTGAGAATGTACTCACATGAAAATCAGCTGGTAACCTTAAGTGTTGGGCAAGTTTTGAAGATGCCTTTCAGGATAATTATGTAATGTTAGGGTATTCATTAAACAAGAGATTAGTTCAGTTTTAACAGCTACAAATCACATCCTTATCAGTCTCCAAACAAAACTCATTGTAGTTGAAACAAAACCGTATAGTAGACGTTTGTATTTAGCATTTATTTTTGCATGTTGATGTTGATTAGCTAATAAAGACTGTAAACATATGCCTTCTTCATAACTGTTCTTTCCTTGCTGCTTTTAGCTCTTCCAGCCGGGTTAAACAGGGTGTCTTACATCAGTGCTACCAAAAGGGTTACATTGTATTGAATGTAGGTATTTACAAGTTGTTGTTCCTCTTTAAGCTTTCCTTTCAGCAAGTTCTAAAAAGTATGCATACTACCTAAAGGTAGTACGCGTACTTTTTAGAACTTGTTGACTTTTTTTCATAACCAGGCAGTAATTAGACACGAACTGCTTGCCTGTTCTCATGCTCATCAACTACTCTTCCTAAATTATGTCAAGAATGGGATTTGAATCCATATTTCTTGTAACAAAGAGACTAGATTGGAACTAGCCATAGATGTAACTGGGATTTGATTGAAACTAATTTAAGTTACATTTTTTTCAGTAGGTTTACACAAGGACTTGATAACTACAGCTATTTGCAGCCAAACAATTTCAGAAGCCTATCCATTTCTAATCAATTGTAGAGTAAGCAATGTTTTAGCACTATTGTTTGGGTCAAGACAGTAGTATCAGACAGAAATGTGCAGGAACATAAAGAGGAAATCAGTTTTCACACCATGTCAGTGATTGCTGCATGTTGAGAAAAGCTTTCACCATTCCTAGGAGTCCATGAGAAGGGAGATTTAAATCTTTGCTTGCCTGCCCACTGACAGGTATGTGTAATGAGAGGATGTGGGAGCCCATTAGCAGCCCATTAGTTTTTTCTACCATCTGGGCCAACTTTGCTTCTACCTCTGTGCCACAAAAATTCACTCTTTCTGCTAGTAAACATGGTGTCCAAAACTTGTTTTGCAGGAGAATTGGATTCCTGGCAGCATATTTGCAGGGCATTTATACCACAAAATAGTACAACCATCTGTTTCCCAGAAGTATCCAAATTCAAGTATCCAAAAATTCACTTGGACATGAGAGTGGACCAGCTGAAAACCAAATAGAAAAAGAAATAAAAGCAACATTGTGGTAGATCTGGGTTCAAATCCCCACTCAACCATGGAAACCCTCTGGGTGGCCTTGGGCAAGTCCCACTCTCTTTGCCTCAGAGGAAGACAAAAGCAAACCTTTTCTGAACAAATCAAGCCAATAAACCCCTGTGATAGTTTGGAAATGACTTTAAAAGCACCTAGGAACAAGCGCTTAGAATGTGGTCCCTCCATTAATGTGGGGCTTCCAAGTCTCCTGTTCTGAAGTTCAGGCCTTGCAGACTTGGAGCTCCTTGGAGGGCACCAGTTCATTCAGCCTTTCTTGGATTGTGGCACTTTCTACTGAGAAGTGAGTAGTGGGGTGCCGTGGGGTTCTGTCCTGGGCCTGATGCTGTTCAACATCTTTATTAAGGGCATGCTTATCAAGTTTGCAGATAACATCAAATTGGGAGTGGTAGTTAATACTTGAGAAGACAGGATCAGAATTCAAAAGGTCCTCAACAGATTAGAGAGCTGATTGGCCAAAACTAAAAAAATGAATTTCAACAAGGAGAAATACAAGATGCTACACTTCAGCTTAAAAAAACTAAATGCACAGGTACAGGATGGGTGATGCCTGGCTCAACAAACAATACATGTGAAAAAGATCTTGAACCAACACTGTAATGAAGCATCTTAAAAAGTCAATGGGATTTTGGGCTGCAATAAAAGCAGTATAGTGTCTAGATCAAGGGAAGTTGTGGTAAGACCTCACCTGGAATACTGTGTCCAAATTCTGGGCAACACAGTTTAAAGAGATATTAACAAGCTGGAAGGTGTCCAGAGGAGGGCAACTAAAATGATCCAAAGCCTAGAGACGATGACCAAAGAGGAGTGGTTTAAAGAGCTGGTTAGGTTTAGCCTGCAGAAGAGAAGACAGAGATGGCATGACAGCTCTGATTAAATATGGTATTTGGAAGGATGTCATAAGAAGAGTGAGCAGACTTGTTTTCTGCTGCCCTGGAGACTAGGACTCAGAGCAGTAGGTCCAAATAACAGCAAAGTAACAACAGCAACAATTTTACTTCTTACCCTGCGGCTCAAGGCAGGTTACAACACAATTATAAACATGAACATTGCAAAAAATTCAACATATATACATATTTCTATAAAAAGGTAAAGGTTTTCCCCTGACATTAAGTCTAGTGTCCGACTGGGGGGTGGTGCTCATCTCCATTTCTAAGCCAAAGAGCCAGCGTTGTCCGTAGACACCTCCAAGGTCATGTGGCCGGCATGACTGCATGGAGCGCCGTTACCTTCCCGCCGGAGCGGTAACTATTGATCTACTCACATTTGCATGTTTTCGAACTGCTAGGTTGGCAGAAGCTGGGGCTGACAGTGGAAGCTCACGCCGCTCCCCGGATTCAAACCTGTGACCTTTTGGTCAACAAGCTCAGCAGCTCAGCGGTTTATCCCACTCCAAGATCCACATTAAAACTGCATTCCATCTGAACATTAGGAAGAGCTTCCTGACCGGGTTGCTGTGGGTTATTTTGGGGCTGTGTGGCCATGATCCAGTAGCAGGCATGTAGCGGGGGGGGGGGGGCTTGGGGGGCTTCAGCCCCCCCCCCCCCGAAATTCTCATGGTGGTCCGCGAGAAGGCCTTACTGGTACATTATTTAAACTGTTACGTTATTCATATCATGATCTGATCACCATGCTCAATATATCCCATATGCATGGGGGTATTGGGGTAACGATACAAAAGGTTTGCTAGGGTAGACCCTCTTTTACTCAGACTCAGCCCCCCCCCCCCGAAACAAAATCCTGGCTACGGGCCTGTCCAGTAGCACTCTCTCCTGATGTTTCGCCTGCATCTGTAGCAAGCATCTCCAACCACAGATGCAGACAAAACGTCAGCAGAGATCCATGGAACATGGCCATACAGTCCAAAAATCTCATCGCAACCCAGTGATTCCGGCCGTGAAAGCCTTCGACAACACAACTTCCTAACTGTGAGAGCTGTTCACCTGTGGAACTCTCTGCCCCGGAATGCACTGTAAGCTCCTTCCTTGGAGGCTTTTAAACAGCGGCTGGATAACCATCTGTCGGGGGTGCTTTGATTGTGCTGTCCCTGCATGGCCGCTGCTCTCTCTTTTCTAACATTCTGATTCTAGTCTACGTGTCACTCTAAAGATTCTGAAGTCTATAGTCCCCGAAGCGGCCATAGGTTTACGGGAGACGAGAAGCCCCGCCCCCTCCCAGTGCGCCTGCGCAGCGGGGTTCTTTTCCTCCGTGCTTCCGCCTTGGCTGCTAGTCTTCCAGAGGAGTCTCTCCGGCGCCCGAGGTGAGACCGGGCCCCTCTCCTCTTTCGCGGGAGAATGGGACTTCTTCTGGCCGCTGTACTCCGGGCCGTGTAGCCTGCCATGTTGGAGGGGACGTGAAGGGCTGAGGGCAGGCTGCTGCGACGGGCCCCGCCTTCAGGCCGCCGGGAGAGGCTTTCTGAAGGGGCCCCCAGCTGGCTTCATTCTCTTCAGAGTTGACGTTCCCCGCCTGTGTTGGCTTCTCTTGCCAGATGGACCAGAAGCTGCCTGAGCTGGTGGAGGCGCTGACCACCTCAGGAGAGGCCCAGCTGGATCCCGGGAAGATGAAGGAGCTGAAGAAGATTTGCAAGTAGGGGATTGCCGCTCTCCTCATGGTCATAGCACATAACATTCTGAAGTCCAGTTTAGCATTTGATTCTGGTTTTTAATATACATATTTATATAGATAGATAGATGTTTGGTTTTATAAATGTTCCCATTAGGAATAATAATAATAATAATAATAATAATAATAATAAAATCTAGTGCCTCTTCCACATAAAATCCCACATTTTCTGCTTTGAATTGGAATATATGGCAGTGTGGACTCAGATAACCCAGTTCAAAGCAGATATTGTGGGATTTTCTGCCTTGATATTCTAGGATATCGGGCTATGTGGAAGGGCCCAAAGCGGCTTCCCACATATTAAACGTCATATAAAGTTGCAGAAATCAAACACATACTATATATAAAACACATAAAGCGAACAATAAACATAAATAAGTGTTTTAAAAACAACATACATTAATGTGGTGTTTTGTCAGATTATATTGCACTTCACTCCAATCAATAAAATTAGCCATCCTGACACTTCAGTCCAGGGGACCTCCCAGACAGGATCTGATCCCAGGTTTTCTGCTTTAAATTAGATTATATGAGTCCCCACTGTCAGATAATCTAGGATAAGTGGGAAACCTGGGATCCTGAGGGCCCTTCTACACAGCCAGATATCCCAGAATATCAAGGCAGAAAATCTCACAATATCTGCTTTGAACTGGGTTATCTGAATCCACACTCAGATAATGGATTTTCTGCGTCGATATAGAGTTGTCTGGAAGGGCCCTAGGTTTCTTTGCTGATGGTTCTCTGAAACAAAGGTTTTCAGCTTCTTTTTGGAGGAGGAAAGAGAGGGTGCTGTTTTAATTTCCTTGGGGAATGTATTCCAAAGGCTTGGGGTGGCAACGAGAAGGCCGTCTCTCTCGTTACCACCAACCGCGTTTGGGACATTGGGAGAAGTGAAAGTAGGGCCTCGCCTGACGATCTCGACAATCTTAGGGATTGGGCAGGTTGGTATGAAAACATGCGGTTGGATAAGTAAGTTGGACCTGAACCATTTAGGGCTTTAAAGGTCAAAACCAGCACCTTAAATCTGTGTCGGAAACAAATTGGCAGCCAGTGAAGGTGCTGTGGCAGAGGAGTTGTATGCTCCCTAGGTCCAGCACCTGTGAGTAGCCTGGCTGCAGCTCTTTGGACTAGTTGAAGTTTCCAGGCACTCTTCAGGGGTCACACCATGTAGAGGCCATTACAGTAGTCTAGGTTGGATGTAACCAAGGCATGGACCACCATGGCCAAGTCCAGAGGTGGGTGTACTACAACTCACATCATATTTTTTCATTGCCCCCCAGCCCCCAATTTTTCAAGTTGGTTGTAGGAGTGGGTGAGCAAAGTTTGGTCCAAATCTATTGCCAGTGGGGTTCACAGGGTTCACAGGGCTCTCTAGATGTGGGAGCCATCCTGGAAAATACATCCATAGATACATATTATTATTATTATACATACATAGATACACACATATACTGTGGGCCTAAGTGTGGTTGCTAATCCCAGCTAGGATGACTAAAACCATCACACACTTTCTTTTTTTCCATTTTTTATAGCTTTTATGATGATGATGATGATGATGATGATGGTGATTTTATTTCGTATCCTCTCCTCATGGCTTGAGGCAGGTTACAAAACAATTAAAATATATAAGCAAAGCAAAAACACTACAAATACACACACTAAAATGTACCTCTATAAAAGATACACACCAAAACATATCTATAAAATACATACTAAAACACACAAAACAGAGATCAAGCAAAGAACACTTAAAAATCATGTTTAAAAACTGTCTGGGTAGGCCTGCTGGAAGAGATAGGTCTTTCATGGTTTTTAAATTCCGACAACTTGTTTAGCTGTTGAAGTTCTTCCGGCAGGTCGTTCCACAGTCCTGGGGCGGCCAATGAAAAGGTCCTCTTGGTGATGGATGCCAGTTGGGTTCTGGCTGGTTGGAGCAGATACCCCCCACAAGGCCGAAGTGTTTGGGGTGGATTGTATGGGAGAAGGCGGTGATCCTTTAGGTAACCTAGACCCAAACCATGTAGGGCTTTAAAGGTCAAAACCAACATCTTGTACTTTGCCCAGAAACAAATTGCCAGCCAGTGGAGTGACTTTAGGATAGGTGTGATATGTTCATTCCTAGATGTTCCTGTAACCAATCTGGCTGCTGCATTTTGAACCAGCTGGAGTTTCTGAACTTGGTACAAGGATAGATTTAGAAAGAAAAAAACATAAACTATTATTCACATATACACACACACACACAAACCAAAAAGAGTAGAGGTTGTGGAGCTCTGGTTAGAAGATTAGAATTATATAAATATCAGCTATACCACTGAAAAAAGAGGAAGAGGATTGAGGGAGAAAACAATTTGTGTTTGTTGTTATTATTCCATCTATATCTTCGACACAAATGCTATTGTACCCCTTGTCTAAAATTTTAAATGTTCTCAATAGCAAAACAAAAATATTCTCTTGTCATTCGATGTCAAGGCTTGTAATCATATCTCATATCTGGTACCCTTTCAATATTCTTTTTCAGTTCTTTGGATGTATTTTGTCTAATTTTAATTGTTTCCATATAATTCTATGAAATTCAATTTTCTTTGTTAATAATTTAATATTGTATACATGAGAGTTCAGTATGTTTCATCATTCAGGAACTTTCTGAATGGAAAGCCAGCATCCAGATGGATCCCCTTGATCCGTGGGTCCGGTTTTAGCAGAAATTATCATTCGGAATTTGGGTCATGCTCTTAAAAGAGTTGCATGGTGGTTATTCACTCATCTTCGCTTCCTAGGGCCTGTTGTCCACACAGCCATATAACACAGAATATCAAGTCAGAAAATCCCACAATATCAGCTTTGGACTGGGTTATCTGAATCCCACACTCCCATATATTCTAGTTCAAAGCAGAAAATGTGGGATTTATTTCAGCTGTGTGGAAAGGGCCCTGGTTTGCTGTAATCCTGGGTGCATTTTCACTGTAGATTTTTTGCAGTTTGACACCATTTGAACTGCCATGGCCCAGCATTACAAGATCATGGGAGCTGTAGTTTCACAGGATCTTTAGTCTTCGCTACCAAATGGTGCCGGTGCCTCAACAAATGACAAATCCCAGAATTCATAGCCTTGAGTGGTATCAAGGTGCAATAATTCAAATGTCTATGTAACTTGAGTTATAAGTCTCATTTTATGCAGTGAGTTTTATTCTGTGGTTAAATGTGCACAGGACTACAACCTTAAAGCTACTAAGAAATGATAGGGTCTTCTGCTCAGGTGTCATGATATGGGGACTAGCAATTGGTGTCATGAAACAGGCAAACAATTATTTTTTTATTAAGCATTCTCTTGGGTTTTCTTTGAGATCTAATAGTTTATGTTTGTTTCTGTAATTGTCTCACTGTTTGACTTTACAGGTCTTCTGATGAGCACATCTGCCATGTATATCACCTGCTGATGACACAGCTAAATCAAGAACATGCTCAGATACGTCTTTCGGCGTTTCAGATTGTGGATGAACTCTTCATCCGATCACATCAGTTCAGGACTTTAATTATTTCAAACTTCCAGGAGTTACTGGAGCTCACCGTGGAAACAGACTATGACCAGCCTCTCCCCCCACCAAATGACGTAGCGCAAAAACTTAAAACACTTGCCATTAAATCAGTCCAAAAGTGGCATGAGCAATATGGAGAGGCCTATAAGAAGCTTTCACTGGGATACCATTTCTTAAAGCAAAACAAGAAGGTACTTTTATGCTCTAATATTCTGCTACGTTTGTCAGGTACTTTGCTGAAAGCTCACTTTGTTAGAGGTAAGCTTGCACACATTTACATGTTTTAAAAGTTAAAACATTCATTATTATATCAATATGACTGTCAGTTATTAAAAGCAATTTTGCACATAAAGTGACCACAGGTTCTAAAATGCTCTATTTCAGGGCTGTCAAACTCATTTCCATCACACAAGACTTATGGGTTGCCTTCAAAGGCCATTGAGTAAATGGATGGGGAATTTGTGGATACAGAGGACCAACTATATATTTTACATACTGGTTGGTGCTCTTTAGTTTTTAGCCAGTTTGGATCCCCAGATGTCACTGAACAACAACTCCCACCACTTTTCATTATCTGTCATGTGGACTGGGGGTAATGGGAATTGCAGCCAAATTGCACTTGTAGCTCTGTGGTTAGGGAAAGGTTAAAGGACATTTTAAAGTCAGGCATTATATCCGGAAGACTTGTATCTAAATACAAACTCCACTATCCTGACTAAACAGAACACACTGGAGCCTTACACATGTTGTTGTATCATAACTTCCATCAACTCTCACCACGATGTTGAATGATGAGGAATATAGGAGTTATAGTCCAACATCTGGAGAGCCACAAAAAGTTACAGGCCAAGACAAATTTGGCCCATGAACCTTTAGTTTGACACATGTGCTCTATATTATTAGTTTTATGGGTAGGGAGAAATTCTTTGTGTGTAGTGGTATGTATTTCTTTTAACTGAAAGAATAAGCATTTATATATTTTCTCAAAAAGAGAATTGTGGGAATATCGTGCAACTGATTGCTTAGAAATGTTCACCATTAAAATATAGTCAACAGGGCTAGATTTTTTTTCTTTAAAACAACTGGTATTTTCCAATTCTTCTTTTAGGTGGATTTTCAAAATATAAGTGCCAGGACTTTAGCTGAAAGGAAGAGAGATGAAGAGAAACAAAAACGTTTGGATAGCATTTACAAAGATAAAGCCCAGAGAGCAGAGAATGAAATGGAAGGTGAGTGTGGTTTGATTTGAGGCATGCTAGATCTTATTACATCTGAGAGTGTCGAATGCTGCCTTCTCTTCCAAAAATAGTGAGCTTTATTAGTGATAAATGACTATTTGTATGGTGTTGCTACCATGTTTTCATGACTGTAGCCTCTAAGATGCTTATAGCTTGCCACAGACCGAGACAAATGAGAGACAGGAGGAAAAACAAAGATTAGGAGAGATTAATGTGGGCAAATCTAATTAAAAAATTAAAAACTTGCCAAGAAGATGCTGTGATAGAAACAAAGAAAAAGCATCAAATATTTCAAAATGTGAATTGACCTTCTACCTTCCAATATAAGGATAAGTCCTAGATCTGTTCTGTTCGTCAAAAAAAGTTCTAGCCGTGCTTCTTACCTCTGTTCCATATAGAGCTGTGGCTCCCAACCTTTTCTTCTCCAGCAGTCTGGAATTTTAACTTCCATGAGCCACAGCGAACTTGGCGAACTTGGTTAGAAATTTTGGAAACTGAATGCCAATATGCCCGGAGAACCAAAGATTGGGAACCACTGATATGGAAACATGATTTATAACTATAATGGGTATGTCTAGTCGAGTGAAGTTCATTGAGTTATTGATGTCCTACTTTGGGTCCTACTTTGGGTCCTACTGATGTGATCTTTGTTCTTTCAGGAAATCAGTAAGTGCCATTACCTTTTGGCTCTCTCTCTTTAAGAAAAAAAGAGGCCACGTAAACTGGATTTCTGAATATTTTGGAGTAATTTCTGTGTGGGAAAGAACTTAGATGACATGTTTACAGTTAAATATTACTAACACGCAGGCAATTTCCGACTGTAAGGATGAGGCCCAACTGTCATCTTTAGCAGGAAACAAATTTGCCATAGGATAGCTGGAAAATGTTTATTGTCTGTGGCAATATTCTTACACTCTGCCATTCCACAGATATGTCCCAAGAAATCCACACTGTACTGACAGAAATGGAGAACTGTATTCAGCTTCTGATTCCAGATCCTTTTGACTTCATGGTGAACGGCAATGAAACAGTTGATTGGAGAACAGCCAGAATGGATAAAGCTCTTTCTTCTTCTTCATCTTCGGAGAGGGCAAATCAGCAGGCCGCTTTCCTTCAAGATGAGGAGCAGCCCTGTTGTAGCAAATACCTTCCACCCATGGTTCCTGTTCCAAAAACTGATTGCAGAGACATGGATGGGAAAGTGCAGGATTGCACAGGCACTAAAGACTGCCTGGAATCTGAACTGACTTCTGCAGCTGGTGGAGATAATGATCATGCAACCTTTGTTCGGAGTCATGGTCTTGGTTCTCATAAATATAGTCTTAATCTTGAAATATCTACAGGTATTTGGGTCAATTTAATGTAAAATGATAGCTGGAGAACATTATATTAAGAACACACTACATGGATTTGTAGGTTGATTCGGATGTGATCACTTTCTCTAAGCATATATTTTGAACATCTCCATATGCTGTAGCTAGAAAATCAGTTTGCTTTTCAAATTCCCTTTGACATCTAACTTTTAAAGGAGTTGTTATGGGTTGGAAAAGGTAAAGGTTTCTCCTGACATTAAGTCTACTTGAGCCTGACTCTGTGGGCTGGTGCTCATCTCCATTTCTAAGCCAAAGAACTGCCGCTGTGTGTAGACACCTCCAAGGTCATGTGACCAGCATGACTGCATGGAGCGCCGTTACCTTTCCGCCGGAGCAGTACCTATTGATCTACTTACATTTCCATGTTTTCGAACTGCCAGGTTGGTTGGAGCTGGGTCTAACAGCAGGATCTCACCCCGCTCCCTGGATTCAAACCGCCAATCTTTCGGTCAGCAAGTTCAGGAGCTCAGTGGTTTAACCTGCTGTGCCACCAGGAAAAGGCTAGAAATCAGTTAAATACTTCAAGTACTGCTGAGGAGAAAATTGTGTGGCCTTCTTCAGTATCTGGCATAATCTCCTGAGATTTCAGAGGCTCCATAATTTACCAGATAGGTATGGTTATAGTCACAAAATAAGTAGCCCAAATAATGGACAGGGGTTATATGGAAGGGTATTATATTCTTAAATTCATGCAAAACCAATCTTATCTAAGTATGAGGCTATTGGAGAACTACACCAAGCTTAGGATATACATACATATACTAGAGGTACTGCACATGTGTTAAACTCCAGGCCTGTGGGTCAATTCCAGCCTACCATGTCATTTTATGTGGCCCTCCAGATGGCAGTTGTTTTTCAGTAACATCTGGGGATCCAAACTGGGTACTAACAAGCACCTACCACCATGTAAAAAAATATAGTTGGCCCTCTGTATCCGTGGATTCTCCGTCCATGGATTCAACAGTCCTTTGAAGGCCACCATAAGGCTGATTCAGTCCTTGATGAAAATGTTTGACAACCCTGTTGCAATAGATATTTATATTTCGTTTTATAATTTCATTTTTCTCAATAGATATGAAACTTCAGGAGAATGAAGACAATACCGCCGTAATAAACAGTGCTGCAGATTCCTGTAAGCTCATCCAAAATAAATTCTTGCCTTCTGTACAATCTTGGATTCAGGTGAGGACAATTGGTTTCATATTTTGATTGTGATTGATAGGAGTTCTATACATGTGTATATATCTTCCTCTGAGCCTGAAAGAGTGTGACTTGCCTAATGTCTCCCCATGGGTCCCTATGGCAATTCGAACTCTGATCTCTAAAGTCCTAGTCCAATGTCCAAATCACTACATCATTCTAGGTCTCAGGCAAGGCACATCTGCTTTATCAATGTCAATTTTGTTGACCATAAAGAATTCCTGATCCAAGTAAACTAGAGTTTCAGTGTGTGTGGTATGTATTAATTTTAATAGACCAGGATTCCCAGAATCTTGGAAGAAGTTAGCAGAATTGTAGGCTAGCACCTTATTTCTAGGCAGGGACCATGTCAGGAATTAGACCTCCAGAGTTCAGTGTTCCTTTTAAAAATTTTAACTTTTAATATATATGTTGATTTTATTGTCGGTTTGGTAAGGCATCAAATTGTTGCCTGTTGTAATGCTGCTCTGAGTCCCCTTCGGGGTTGAGAAGGCGGGGTACAAATACGGTAAATGAATAAATAATAAATGGGTCAATCTGATTCATTGAAGGATATGTCGCCCTGAGTCCCCCTTCGGGGGTGAGAAGGGCGGGTTATAAATGCAGGAAATAATAATAATAATAATAATAATAATAATAATAATAATAATAATAATAATGTCAGAAATTAATTGTTGTTTGTTCAAGGACTTGAGGGGAAGCAGGAAACTGCATCTCCAGACCTCAACCATGATATAGGTGAGACGGAATAAGCAGAATTGGTTATGAATGTTAGGTGGAAATATGCCGAGTTGCATAAACGATCACCCACCCACCCACTCACTATTTAATACTAAGTTTACTATAATCACAATGTGTATGGTTTTATCTGACCCAACCCAGGATCCTGTAATATTTGCAGTACACATTCCAAGACTATGAATTACCAATCTTTCTCAGTTGAATTTCTTTTTAAAGAGCCAGTCTCTGGCTGTATCTGAGCAATCGTCTGCAAAACCATTTGTCTTAGGAAGGAAAGAAACCTTCCTAAAATAAGTAAGAGTGAGAAGAGGGCAATGGCAGCAAAGCAAAAGGAAACCACCCAAGCCTAACCTATCTGGAATTCAAGGGAACCATTCAGTGTATTCCACTGTTGTTGTTTTTTCTTGGATTAGCTTGTTTTGAGTATTTATATTTCACTTGTGAAAAAAACTTTCATAGATTGATTGTAGTATGACATGAGAGTTTGGCATTAAAGGGGGAAAATATTAAAATATCAAAGCCTTGTACAGAAGTTCCTAAACGTATTTGACCGACTACCCACTTTTCAGGAAAAAAATTACTCAGTGAATCAATTACTCCAAGATATCTAACTTCTTTCAGCTAACAAAAAGAAAGATACAGTGACAAAATTGCATTCTTTTATGTATCTATATTTCTAGCTACATCCTACAACATGGAAAAAAGGTGTAAATGAGACACCTTGAAGTTTGAAATAATAAAACTATTATTATTAAAATTATTAAAAATCAAGCATAGTAACATTTGTGTTTCATACAGAAACTTAGGATAATAAAGGATATTATTAAAATTAAAATTATGAATAACATTGAAAACAATCCCAAACAAAAAGGATAAATCGGGTGTACTGATATCAGTTCCTTATATTTGTCAGGAGCATTAATTAATTTTTAAAATACTTTTTTTCGTGTACCCTATGGTTAACTGCCACACAGTTCAGAAACAATCTAAATTAAATCATATGTGTCTCCTATTTATAGTATCGTATTATAAACAAGTAATTGCACACACATATTCCTACCAATGTATTCTGGACTTCCCAACAATACATGACATGCTTGCTTACCAACACGTTTGCCTGTTAAGACATGTCGACAGGCTTGAGCACTTGCATTTTGTATGTTCATTTGGGGGAAAAGTAATCACTTATCTGGAACTTTATTTTACACAGCAGATGAAACATCTAGGAATGTTTTTTCAAGTTTTAAGAAAAATGTGTTTTTACTGCCCTCTTATTTTTATTCAGCCCCCACCCTACAATTGCACCCTTGACCACTTCCTCCACCTGTATCCTTTCTGCACCCCTGAGGGGGGCAGTATCACTTATTTTGGAAAGCAGTAGTCTAGTACCAACCATTTATTATTTTGTATCCCACCTTCCTCTCAAAATTGGGACTCAAGCAGACTTACAGATTAAAGAACAGTACACTTATAATATACTGTACAATATATACAATATGTGGATCAGAGCAGCTTCCTATATATAATGATTTATCAAGGCATTTTAATGTAATGAATACAGTTAGAACTTGCTCTTTCTGCAAGTAGTGCACACTAGATTGCAGATAACAGATGCCAGTTGTCTAGGTCTTTGGATGTGTATCTGAGTAAGATAACTAATTGTCAGTTTAAACTTGCAGTTGTTCACAAGGGCTGGAATAAGTGATGATCGTCTAAGGCAAGCCATTGAACTTAAAAATAAATTGGAGACTGCTGTGAAGAAATATAAGGAAATGAATATTAACTTTAAAGCAAGGAAGAGGAAAGTGGTGAGTTGTGCTACATATTTCTAACATACTGATGTACATCCAGAAGTCAATCATATTTTCTTAGGATGCCCTGCTTTGAGTATATAACTGGAAAACCGTGAGCCTCCAAAGGTATTTCATTTGCTTTTTGGGTAATCTTGATCCTAATAATTCTCTTTGTACGTTTAATAAAAGTAATATTTAATATTTAAATATTTATAGTAATTACTTTGATTTAATTGTTTTATGTATCTTCGTAAATCGCAAAATATGTTTTTTCTTGGGATTTTTTCATTTTGTTTAAAGCTTAGCATTAGGTAGAAATACATATGCTGGAATACAATGAATTAAATAATAAATTTGAAATGGGTATCTGAGATGAAATGGCAGATTGCTGTGAAAAACAACAATACCCTGACTGTTGCTACATACATTTAATTATTTTCTTACTCAGGGATGACTAATTTATCCAGTTGCTTGTCTGTACTTCTAGGTTTGTTTTTTTTTTGTTGTTGTTGTTGCAATAGAACAACATTTTTAACAACTTGGGCTACTTACACAAAATGTAAGCATGTGAGCCTTTGGTGATAGGAGATCCAATTCAAATTTTAAGTTTACACTTTGAACAAAGTACATGGTAGTAACACTTTAAGGATGTATAGGAAATATTCAGCTGATCTTGAATTAAATTGGTCATACATATATCGCACTCATGGGGTGGCCAGTGGGACCACATATTCCAAGTGTCTGAACATTAGTTGGAATCTGTAAAAAAGGGGCATAGGAGAGTAAAGCTGAAAATATGCATTGCCGCAAACCAGAAGTTCAGAGAGTATACACTTAGTTGGCTGTTAGATGAAAAGTTGGACTAAATGCTAATTTTCCATTGATACTGCTGTGGTGGTGAAAGAGGTGATATCTTCTGTTCTAAACTCTGACAATTCTGGGAGCAGTAGTACAAAGAAATTAGTTGATGAATCCACCCCTCCCCTTTTATATACAAACTGGTGCACTTTGCTTACGAATAAAAATGTAGCATTTGTTGAATGACAAAACTATTATTTTTGGGGTTTTATTGCTTTTACCAACAAGAGCAGGTTCTGTGATGTTTTTAGTGGTACTAAATGTCTTAATTGTTGTAAAGTTTTATATTTATATGGGTGATGTTTATGAGTTATAATTAATATGTTTATTGGGATTTATTTTTCTTCTGTGTATTGTGATTTGTCTTTTGTGATTTGTTAGTTTTGATTTAACACCACAGTTTATTTTTACTATACATTTTGGGGAAAATGCTATGCATATATGAATAAGGAAAAGTAGGAAAGATGGCGTTGAGAGAGGAGAAAAGGAAGGATAGTTGGGTTGCTGTGCAGAGAGGCGAGGGTCCTGGCATGAAGGCATGGGGCTGAAAGAAGCCCTTCTTTCAGCCCCACGCCTTCCCACCAGGACCCTCCTCCGAGTATAAGCCGAGGGGGGCTTTTTCAGCCTTAAAAAGGGCTGAAAACTAGGCTTACACTTGGGGAGAGGGGGAGAGATATAAATAAAGCTTTATTATTACTATTATTAAAAGCATTGTAACCACCCAAGTTCTGCATCTTGAAAACATTACTATTTAGTCTGTAAAATAACAATGAAAACAATTGTTTGTAGTAGGTGGCTGAAAATTAGGGACCTTATGACATTTTCACTTGAAGAACTGTAAAACAAAATTCTATCTTGATAGTGTAGTTTTGGTTTTGTGAATTCTGCAACAAAAGCCACTCTGAGGTGCTAAAATATTCCATCAGCCTGTACGCGGGCTCATTGTTGTTTAAAATGCCTGAATTAAGTCATGTCATCACTTTTACTTAGAGTGTTCATGTCACATGTTTTAAACAGGTGTGACACATTAGATCACAATAATCTGACACTTTTTTTAGGTTAGCTTTAAGTCCATCTTTGAATCTCTTTTGCTGTCCACTGACATTTTATTTTAAATTCTTGAGCTGAGAGTAAAGTAACTTTGGAAGATGGTGATAGGGCATTTGGACGATGTGGCCAGTCCAGCAAAGTTGATGGCGGAGAATCTTAGTATATGTATTAGATATAGTAAATATATTAAGATAAGTGTAACCATTTGTTTGGAGCTGCAACAAGTGAAATCAGATTTGAATAGGTTTTCCATTCAACAGAATACATTTCAAAGTCCACTTTCTTTGAGAGTGGATCTTACTGAAATCAGTTTTTCTTTTAGCCTGTTTAGGTTAGTGTAAATATCCCTTAAAATTTAGTGGCCAGGAGAGGGAGCACATCCTGGATATAAGATGGATTCTAGTGCCTTAGGAGTCTAAGTACTTCTCTGTTTATTGTACATCTGGGAGTGATTTTATCAGTACGTTTGGGTTTCAAGAGAACAGATCTGTCATTATTTGCAATAAAAATGCTGTCATTTCTACTCAATTAAGATTAGTTGCTCTTGACCATTATATTGCTTTATACAAAGATATTCTACAAGTAAATATTGTTGTAATTCCTGTTAGACAATCCTGGATGGTTGTGAGCCAGTTTCATTATTTTGATGCCCATGTGGCCATGCATGTCAGACTACAATTATGATATCTCAGAGTGCTTTTTAAAGTGTCTGTGTACCTACTTGTTTGAAGCACACCTTTGGTGGCTTCTATATATGTATTTTTTTGGAAAAAAATATGAGACCCATCCCCCAATGATAATTGGGGTTTCTCTTGAAATGATTCTTCTTTGAATTAATCTGCTATCCTTTCATCTCTCTTATGTAGTTCTTCAGTGTATTTTTTCCATCTACTTTTTGTTTGTACTCAATCATACAATGTGTTTACCTGCTGGCACTCTTTTGCACTCTTGGTTTAAATGTATAGTAAAGCAGCAGTTGGTTTGTATTTAGCACATTATTATTTTGTCTGCCTTCTCTACAAAGATGTTGCCTTTTTTCCAATTCAGAACAGTTCTATCATTCTGTCTCAAACATTGTCGCTGAGAATTGAAGCCCGCTTATATAAAAAGCTATTGTTCAGCATAAGATGCAGAGGAGAACAACGAAACAGATGAAATTAGGAAGTTTCTTAAACCATTTACATTAGCTTTACATGTTGCCCCATCTTGTGGCAATGTTGTGTAAATGTGGATTAGATTTTCTAGGATGTACCCTCCTTAACTCCCCTCCAGTCCTTGAATATATGAAACCTAGGTAATCAAAATTCTAGAGCCAGACTATATAGATGATAAAATTAGGGAGTCGTTTTTTTCTGAATAAAGATAGAATCCACTGAAATAGCTAATTTGTGGCAGGGTGATTTGCAAAATATAAGAGGGAGAACAATAATTTCTCCTTTTTCATTTTAAACATATAATAGTTGCTCTCTTCTGTAACTCAGTGGGCAATAAAGTGCTCCTCATTGTGCAACAGCTCACTTGTGAAAAGGAGAAAAGTGTCAAAGTGCTGATATCTAGCAACTAAGATTATTACAGAATCTTTTAAAATTCTATTCCCTCCCCCACTCCCAGGATACAATACTAACATAATGATCTCCTTATCTATAAACATTAGAGAGCACTAAGTTTGAGGTATTTGTAAGACAAAACATTCAATTAAGAAATGCTATGAATGTATATGAATATCTTGTACATTGAGAATTCCTTGTTCTGTGCCATCATTGATAACTAAAATTCAAATATGGTAAAAGTAAGACTATTTACTGGTTGGTTAATATACCATTCACTTTTATGATGTAAAAGATACAGAATACACAAAAATGTATAATTTTCCCCCACTAACATACCTTGCTGTGCTTTACTTGTGAATCGTTTGAGAATAATTCGATAGCCAATTAACGAATGCTGTGTAATTTTGCTACACAAATTGTGCTTTCCTCCGTTTAAGATTCCTTGACTATATTTTAAGTCATGGCTGAATTCAAAACGTATTCACATAAAGTTGCACGTATAAATTGGTTCCACTGCAGTAAATATTAATTTCTTGGCTAAAAATCCTCTCTCCTCTCGAAAAAAAAATATTTAGTTGGCTGTGAGTAGATGCACATGAAATATGGTATGATGGAATAATTTGCAAGATCTTCCAGTGAGAATATTAGCATATAAATAGCAGATGCAATGACGACCATCACAGCTGAGTACATTTAATTTTTAGTTTATAAGACAGAATGGGTTTTTAAATGCATAGTCATCAAGCCTGCTGAAAGACAAATGAAGTTTAGAGTTCACTTATCTGAGGATACCTTACATCATGTTAGAGAAAGAGAATCTGAGCCTGCCACGCAGCCGTACCTGAATGAGGGGAGGACATGATTGAGTTGGTATAATTGCACATTTGACTGCAGAATTCTAAAAAACCCAGATTTAGTGAGCAGATAGCTTCCTTGTTTGCTTTGCCTCTCCTTCAGAGCTTCCCAAATATTTCATTTTGGTGACACATTTTAGATAAGCATCATTTCGCGACATAGCAATTTGGTTTTACTTGCAAACCGGAGGCTAAACCAACCCCTTATAAGAGATTTAGTAACTTTCACAAACTGTAGTAACAAAATGTATGGGGACACAACATATATCATGAAAACCTTTCATTTATGTTTCTAAATGAAAATGATTTGTAAAATAAAAGTAGTTCAATTAGATTTCTCATTTTGTACAACTCTCTGACACACTGCAGCTGGTATACTAACTCAGGGATCCCTCAAGCTTAAAGCAGAGAACCAGTTCAAGGTCCCTCAGACTGTTGGGCCAGACTGTAGTTTGAAAAAACATAAATTTTTTATGCATGCTGTAAATACCTTATTTGTAATGCAAAAAAAAAAAAAACCCATGAAAGAACAATACAAATTTAAAATGAAGAACAATTTTAACCAACATAAACTTACCAGTGTTTTAGTGGGAAGTGTAAGCGTGCTTTTGTCTGGTGAGAAAGTCAAGTTAATTAGGATTGTCTAAAGTTTAGGGTGAGTCTGGGTAAATGACCTTGGAGAGCCGCATCCTGCAAGTGGGCC